AAAAAACAAAGACCATATGATTCTCTTAATTGATGCAGAGAAAGCTTTTGTATCTCAAGAATGGAAGAAAAAATATCCAATGAAACTAAATTATAGACTTCATAGGAAAGATATAACCTAATTATAGCCTTGAATATGGGGAGGGGGCAGGTGAGGGGAGGGGAGGGGAGTGGATGAGTGAGGGAGGGGGATTGGTGGGGTCATCTCTATGGTTTATCTTACAAGGGTACAAGTGAATCTTTCTAAAAGCAGAGTATGAATGTCTTAATAACTAAGAAAATGACACGAAGGCTACATTAACCAGTTTGTTGAGAGTATTTCAAATTGTATATGAAAACACCACACTGTACCCTGTGATTGCATTAATGTACACAGCTATGATTTAATTAAAAAAAAGAAAAAAGAAAATAAAAGAAATTCATTAAGGAATCCTTAGTTAGGGCCAAGGTTTTACTTTACTAATTAAAACAAGGGACGTGGTTATGATTTTCCTTTGCCTTTCTGGGGGGCGTACGTTCACTCTGCTGGCCTCACTGTGTCTCTTACACGGGGACAGGAGGTGACGCAAGGCTCTGACCTGCCCGTCCTTACTGTGTATGTCAAATGGATTTGAGTCCTGGAATTGTGACCAAAATGTTCTGTTGTTTATTCTTTCTCTTTTCCAGCAACAATTAGACATCCCCATACCCAGATATTTCTTGAAGGAGAAATTGCAAGCAATAAAAGAAAGAGAAAAAGTCCTGGCTCAGCTGTTACTTGAGTTTGGATTAGCTACAACTGACATGGTTTGTATACCATTCTAATAAGTGTTGTTCTGTAATCTCTACAACTTCCTTTCTCTGCAGCTCCTAATGGAGTGAGAAACAATTGGGTTATTTTTGATTTAAAGAGAGAATTCCTCCCCCTTTATACCATACATTAGAAGTTGCATAACTTTCGGACATGTTTCTGGTGACGCATAATCATATTTCCAGAGCTTAGACACAGAGATAAAGATGGAATGCTTTGCTACTTAAATCAGTATCTCTCAGACGAGGCTGATTATCAACTCGGTTTGATTTTCCATTTCAGCTTTACCTAGCTAAAGTCAGAATCTAGACATTGTTCATATAAAATAATTAAGAGCTTACATAACTTACTAGGAACTCAAAAATCTAAAAATGATAATGGACCTTTTATGACTTCAAGTTGTTGAGCCTTGGCTCTCCTCAAATGGGCCATCTGTGGAGAAAAGGAAAGAAAATATTTTAAAGCTCTCTCTGGAAAACAAAGAACATAATTCTATCAGCTCCCTACCTCAGTGCTGTCAATGTCCCCAGTGCCTGACCAGCTCTGCCTTCTGGTCTCACAACACCAGTAGTCCTGACTCTCACAGTCATCTCCCATTAGCCTCCTGGCGGACAGTCATCTTCTTATCCTGTCCACCTCTGACTGGTCTGTTTAATGCATCTAGTGACTCACTGCCTAGGAAACGCGTGCTTGCCTCCTCTGCCTGGTCTTCATGACCCAAGCAGCAAGGAGGCCATCCAGAGTGGGACGCTGCAGAGTGAAAGGAGGCCTGTGAGTAATGGTGCTGAGACTGCAGGGGCAGATTGGGCCTCACGGGACAGCAGGCTCAAGTGGTCTTCCTGCAAATAGGTCCCACTGGGTATTGCCATCCTGGGCTTTGGGGTTAGGAAGATTCTAGAGTATGCTATGGATACTCAGAAGATAGGTGGAGTGCACGCCCAGCCTGGCGCTGCCTCTGGTTTCCCTCAGCCACAATCTATGCCACATGGAGGGCTTGCCCGTCCCACTGACACTCCTTCCTATCAGAGTAGGACCCGTTCTGCCGAGCCCGACTTAACAGAACTTCCCTTCCGACCCACAGTCTTAGTCCATTTTGTGTTGCTATAACAGGACTCCACAGACTGGATAATCTACAGACAACAGAAGCTTGCTTTCCCCATGGTTCTGGAGGGTGGGAAGTCCGAGACTGAGGGTCACATCTGGTGAGGGCCTCTGGCTGCTCGTCACCTGGTGGGACAGCTCATGAAACAGCAAGAAATATGGGGCTGAACACATCCTATTATCAGGAACCCGCTCCTGGGATTATAGCACCACTCCATTCACAGGGACAGAGCCTTGTGAGTACAGCACACTACAGGCTCCACCTCTCAACACTGTGGCATTGGGGATGAAGTTTGTAACATGACCTTTGAGGGACACATTCGGACCACCAAACCCATGTAACTTGAGATGACCTCTCCCTCCTGTACCTCTCCCATGAGATAATGGCTTCTTTTCTACATTATGAATTTTTTGATGGCAGGTCCAATGCCACCTTGCTTGGAGTCATCCAGACATCCTTTCACCCTAGGCCCCTGTGTCTGTGCATTTTGTGCACACAGCAGTCAGAACGAAGCATCCGGCCTCACCTGGTCCCTCCTTACCTGGCAGTGACGAGCCCTGCAGGGTTTTCTGAACATCTCATAGGGGAGCCCGGAGAAGGGAGGTTATGGTGCACATGCTGTGGATGATTCCTAAAAGTTTCTCTTGGCGGTTCCTCCTGCCCACTGTCCCTCTTCGGTTGTTGGTCAGCAGCAGGGGCTTTTTCTCCTTCCCTTGCCCACCGCCAGCCTTGGCCGGCCCTTCTCACTTCATCACGTGAGCAGTTCACGTCCACCACAGCCTCAGTGCAGGGAGGCCAGACACCAGCAGAGCATGAGAGCTTCCAGCTGACAGCCCTGGGCATTGCTGCCACTTTCCCATGCCCTTTGGGGTCTCCCGGGACCCCCTTGCCTTAGGCTGTTTATTTCTTGATATATGTATAGCATGTATGTGCCAGGAAGAATTTTGACAAGTGCAAACTATTGTCTGTCTCCTATATTTGTGATGCTTCATACCCTCCCTAGCTGCTCAGAATTCTTTGTAATGTGGTGTACACTGCTCAGAGTCCCTGAGGATTACTGAGTTATGGCTGTGCTTCCGTTCAGAAGGACTATGCAGGGGCTAAAGGACGTGCTCATGGCGCTGACTGGCGCCGGCTGGGGCTGCGTCCTTCTGAGCTTTCACACATGGCACCTGATTTGTACCAGAATACTGCTCATGTCACTCCAACATGCAAGCACATTATTGAAAATGTGCACTCCCTGCAAATTTGAAGCAACAAGACCTTGCTGAAAACAAACCCCAGGGGAACTATGATGGGAAAGAGTTTCCCCATGAGCCTCACACCCCAGGTGCCACACTGAGGTGCCATATTGGGCAGTGATAGAGGCTTCAGTGGCCCATCTCTGTGAAGAGGCCCTGTCTCTGTTCACACAGGCTCTCCCTCCTACCCACAGGGACTTGTGTGAGTTACTTCACATGTTTGGTCTTCAGTTTTCTTAACTCTTAAGTGGTCACAATAACAGCTGCCTTGAGGTTTACTTTTGTGAATTTGATGAGCTCATATATATAGAAAAACCATCTGGCATCCACAGCTTCTCACTCAGTGTTCCTTCCCTCTCCTCAATCCTCCTGTGCCCCAACCCTGCCTTGTTACATGGAGAAGCGATTGTCCTAGGAAGCAGTGGCCCAGGTGATAGCCCCTGACACTCCAGGCCCCAGGCCCTGACACCCCAGCCTGATACTGTGGCCGCTGCTGCTATCTGGGTGGTGGAGAGGGACTCCGCCTGCAGAGACTCCACCTGCACTTTGGTGCCCCAACATCCCCCAGAGCCAGGCCACGTGCACCATGCACTGCTTTTCTGGGAACACCGTGGGGCCTCACCTGAGCTCACCCAGAGTTCACACAGCCTCAGGGGGCACACACAGCCCTTGTTCTTGTCCCTGTCCTCAAAAAATGGCCCAGCCCATGGCCCAGCTTGGCCATCACTACTACACCAGAGAACTCCCAAAAGCACATGTTACTGCATGAGCACAGGTCCCAGCTTGTCTCAGTCTAATATGCTGCTCGTGTTCCGATATTCTAAAACACAGATTTATAGATACTAGAAGCCATTCCATAGATAAAACTAAATGCTCCTGTAATGATTTTAACATTAGTCCTATTTACTAGGTCATTCTGCGATTGATTTTAAACTTAGCACTTTACCTCATCTATATTTTAAATTTTAATATCTCGTATTAGAGATATGCTTTTAATTTCTTTGTCTCTACTATCAAGTTAATGAAACATTGACAGCAATTTCAAGTTTCACTGCATCCGGCTCACTGACATTTCTAGTATAATTTGCTGCCAACCTAAAATATCATGGCACTAATTAGTATTTTTCATAAGAGTAGAAAAAAGCTATGGGGTCCTTACATCTGGGATCTCAGCACAAGCGTGGCACGTTATCAAAAACTGAGTAATGTCGACTTGCTCTCAAACTCTTTATCAGCTGTGGGGACTCTAAGCAGGGTTGTGTTAGAAGTAAGCATGTGATGCATCTGGGATCGGTTGCTCTGGTCAGCGTGTTTAAACATTGATTTAGCTTAACTGGATTTTGTGCTTGTTTCTGTTTGTTTGTTTTCAGAAATACGGCATGAAGAGTATCCCCTTCGGAGAGGCAGTTAAATTAATCCAGATTTCTGAGAGGGCACGGCAAGGCCGCCTGAGAGCACTGTTCATGAAACAAATCTATATGCAAGAATACAGGGCAAAGCAATTCAAGTTACTCAGCGAAAAGGTGGCAGACACCCAGGCCGCGGCACTCCGTATTCAGAAGGTACAAACACTGGGTGCTTGGAGTTGGGGACACGGTATTCTACACAGTAGGGCTGTGTGCCAGTTTCAAGGTTGAGCTTCAAAACGCCAAGCCTCCAGGTCCCCCCTTTAATGGAACTGGATTGAATTCTGCAAAGATATATTAACTTACTCTTAGGAAATCATTAACTGAGCTTGGTCATGTTTGAACTTTTTTATTCTAAGTGAGTATGAAGCTCAGGGAATTTTACTCAAAATTTGGTAATTGGTGGAAAGAACGCTGCCAAAATTCAGTAAGCATCTACATCTTAAATGTGTTTTTAAAAAATAGGTTCACATATGGGCAAAGAATTACAGAAGTGTGGTACCTGGTAGTTTGCAGAAGATACACTGTTTGGAAATTCTAGCAACCATAACTCACAAGCAGAATATCAGGGTTCCCTCTGGAAGGAACTCTGGAGGTTCCCTTTCTTTTGTCAGATGACACCATTGACTGTTACCCCATCTTTTTCAAGTGGAAGCTGGGATCCTTTTGGGAAAATGCCGAAGATGGCAGCAACTTCCCACAAATTAGAATCGGATCAGAATGAAAATTCAAGGACACCAAGAGCCAGAACATCAGGGCCGTCTGTCCCAGCTGTGCCTGAACATGCGTGGGGAGGGACGATAAGAGACTTTTTCTTCTTCTAAATTTCTCTGGGGATATAAATTTTTAGCGTCTGAGTTAAAAGCTTCAGTTGTATAATTCTTGGAAGTCACTATGTTATATTTCCCAGCATTACTTTGGAAATTTTTCTTTTAAAACCCTAAAGTACCACCTTTAGATCTAGCCTCACACTCCTGCTGTCTAGAATTTTCTCTAAGAAACTCCAGAAGGGGAATCTCACTAATAAGAATTGTAAGTCAGTTCTGTGACTCAATCTCACAAAAAAAGAAAGAAAGAAAGAAAGAAAACCCAAAACTTGGTGATCTCAGAAGAAAAACTATTCCATCAACACACGTCCACCCCCTGACATTTGTGACTCTCGTGACACTTGAAATGTGCAGTTTATTTTATGGAGAATCTGAACGATGTTGTCTTTATTTTTGTAAATACTAAACAAGTAACCCATGTATTTATTTTCAGGTTTGGAGAGGTTTCCGTCAGTTTAAGAAAACTATAAGAGAGAGAGAGGAGGAGATGATATTCCTGGGGATGGTAAGTTCTCCTAACACAGGATCTGCTTTTCTTAAAGACAGTAGGATATGTAAGACTCATGCCCTTATTAGCTGGTTTTTGAGGGAAGAAAGGAAAGAATAAATGACTTGAGGGAATGGAGTCACCTGTGTTCTGCAGAAGTCTGCCCAGGGCTATCTGAGGAGATCAGGGCTGTGACCATTTACACGTTCCTGTGCAAGGTGGTGACACTCCATGAGTGGAAATGGCTCTCGGCCGTCATGTCTGCTCTTCCTGTCTGATATCAGCAGGCACCTTATCAGGTTTGGAGTCATGAGAATGAATTTGCATGGATCACAGGCTTCTTTTCGGGTGGCAGTCTGCAGTGATCACTGAATCACAGAGTTGGAAGGGCGCATTCATATCTATTGCCATGTGACACATTGCCACCGACTTAGCTCAAAACGATACCTCTCTGTCGTTTGTTCTCTCTGTGGGTCAGGAACCTGGGAACAGCTTCATGGAGTCGTCTGCTCGGGATCGCCCAAGGCTTCAGTCAAGGTTCATCTGGGGCTGTGGTCTCATCTGAGGCTCAGTGGGGAAGGATCTGCTTCCAAGTTTGTGTGGGTTTGGGAAGGATTCAGTTCTGTGTGGGCTGTAAGATCATGGGCCGCAGTCTCTATGCCAGCAGTTAGCAGGAGGCCAACCGTAGCTCCTTGCTGTGTGGGCCTTTCCATGTGGTAATTGCTTTATCAAAGCCAATGAGGGGGAGAAGCCTGCTTAAAACCTTATGCAAATGACTACAGAAGTGTATCACATCATCTTTGTCCTACACCAGTTAGAAGCAAACTATAGGCCCACCCATCCTCAGGGAGAGGGTATGAGGCCCAGAAGGCAGGGTCTTTGTGGCCTTCTCAGAGTCTGTCTGCCACTGAGGACTTTTCTGTACTACCTGCACATCAGGGGTAAGGCCCCGAGAGGAACCAGCTTGTCCTCTACCTGAGTCCCTCCTGAATATAGTCCCCCCACCACCGCCTTGCAGGGAAGCCCACTGTGTTACGTTTTCAAAGCTGCTGCTTTTTATTTAACTGAAATCTGCCTCCCTAGAGATCCCACTGACTGGCTGGGGCTCTGTCTGCTGTAGTAGCTCAGAATGTCTCTTATTTCTTTACGTGATAACCCCTTGAGTATTTAGAGGCAGTTCTTCAGCCTCACCTAAACCAACTCTTTGCAAAGCTAATCATCACCAGAGATGGGGACCATTCCCAGTAAGAGTTTCTTTCTTGACTTATCAGTTTTCATTAAAGGACATTGTAATTTTAAAAAAGAAAAGAACAAGAACAAAAAAAAAGAAAAAGAAGAGAAGCCTTTTGGGACTTGATCCGGCATTGACTTGAAGTCTACTGTACTGAACTACATTGCTTTATGCCCCGATTTAAAGCTCTGATGAAAGCACTAAAGCAGAAACTTTGGTAAACACAGTGGCCAAGTCTTTGGAAACACCTATAATCCATAAGGCTCTGGTAAGACTGATCAAGAACAGAAGAAAAGAATATGGAACATGCAGGTTGTAACTAGAGGCACTAACTAGCAGGTTAACAACTGGCAGATGATGTCATGAACAACTGTGTTCATAAAATACAAAACACTGAACAGAGAAGACTGTTGAGGGAAGTGCGAATGTCAAAACTGACCAAAGGGGAAGAGCAGAATAAACCAATACTGAAGAAAGTCCTGTGTTAATTTGGGTCTCATAAGAGCAGGGGCCACAGTGGAGTTGGACATACAGGAGATTTATCAGGAGAATACCTGGAAAGAACAAAGGAAGGGCCAGAGAAGGCCAGAGAGGCTTCAGCTCCTGAGAGAGGCTGGGCAGCTGTGAAGGAGGGGTAGGAAGGAGGTCTGAGAAGGAAGAGTCTCAGTTTCAATAAAGAAATTTAACCGGCTTTGAAAAGTCTGTGCTACCAAAAGAAAAAAAGAGGCAAGACTCAAAAGAGATACTCAGCTGGGGAAGGACCCAGGGCAACCTCGGGGACTGCTAATGAGGGTTTAACTGCTCCCCTTCCAGGGCCCAGTTTATCATTAAAAACTCAGAAAGCACTTGCACCTTTATGCCCCACAGTGCCCACCCTCGGGATTGCTTTACTACCAAAAAATATCAATATGAGCTAGGGTTACAATATGTAGATGTTCATATTAGTGTAGTGTAGTTTTATACTAATTAGACTGGTAGCCAGAAATGGTTAATACAGTTTAAATATCTCATTGTATATTGTTAGAAGTGATGTTTTCAAGTTTCTTATATTTTATGAAATGTAAAATATCACGATCTTACCTTTCAGTCTTTTGTTTATCTAACATCTGTCTACAATAAACATATTTTATTGTATTTTATGTCCAAAAAATTACAGATAAAATGCATATTTAAAATTATGGTAGGGGAGAAAAAGATATGCACCATGGCTTAAATAATACATAGCTTTAAAAATTGAAACTGAAATAATAGTCAATTTGTAATACATTTTCCCAATTCTGTGTACTTACCAAAGGTGTGTCTCAGTAGGATGAAAATTGGAACTTAGGATTTTTCCTTTACTTTCTATTTGTAACAGAAGTTATAACCAAAGAATAAGAAGTAAAAAGTTAAAGAGTAAAAATAATAATTGCAATTTGTGGTTTTTAGCCAATGCGGGGATGTAACTTTCTTTTTATCATTCTTTTCTGTTTATGCTTAATTGTTATTTATAATACTGCATTCCTGTTCTCTCCATCATAGAAAACAAATTAAGTGACTGTCATGGTAGTGGTGAGAGATCAGATCCCTTTATTCAGTGATCAACCATAAACATGACCATCTGAGCCATATTTTAATTACTTCTTCTTATAAAATTATTAAATTTTTCTTAGATATTAGGATTTAAGACAAATTATCTGACAAATAGTGTTAAGTATAGCTAAAATATAATTTAGTCCCATCTTCAGGGACTAAACGATAGATGACATGGCTTCCATTGAAGCATATTTGCATTTAGAATAGCTCACTTGGCTGGGGCTCCCCATCCTGGCTCCCCCTGCAGGTACAGCCTCTATCTATTACCTTTGTTGTCAGCACACAATTATTTTTCTTGAAGAGAGAATTTAACTTTATATCCCAGAAACTTGAAATTGCCTAGTTTCCTGCTGAAGGGGCATGATATTACCACCCCTGCATTTATAAAGTCTGCCTTTAAAATATGAGAAATCATACCAGAAGATAATAGATGATTTGAGAAGTAGCCTGGTTTTATCACTTACGTTCTTAATTTCACTTTGATCTTTGTATTTCAAAAATAAGTTGATGTTTGTTTTTGGAAATTGAGAACCCCTCGAGGCCTCAGCCCTCCTTCTGCTTTATAACTAGACAGATGTGCTACCTGGATCGTGAGGGTCAGCAGTTCCTTGCAGTTGTTATGATTTTGCAGTTGTGAACTATAATTCCTTGCAGTCGTTATGATTTTTATGAATTTCTATAATTTCACTGGGTGGAGTATTATTCAGCCATAAAAAGAGGGGAAATTCTGACAGAGGCCTCAACTTTAATAACCCTTGAGAACATGATGCTGAGTAAAATAAGCCAGTCACAGGCAGACAACTATTGTGTCATCCCCTTTACATGAGGTATCTAAAGTAGTCAAACTCATAGAAACAGAAAGTAGATGTTGGTTGTCAGGGGCTGGAAGGAGGAAGAAAGGGCAGTTATTGTCTAATGGGTATAGAGCTTCAGTGTGAAAGATGAAAGATTCTAGAGACCTGTTGCATAGAAACATGAATATAGTTAACACTAACCGCAAAAATTGTTTGAATGGTAAATTTTATGTTATGTGTAGGGATTTTTATTACAATTAAAAATGTTTTTAAAAATTCACTGGGATAGGCAGCACCTGTGGCTCAAAGGAGTGGGGTGCCAGCCCCATATGCCAGAGTGGCAGGTTCAAACCCAGCCCCAGCCAAAAACTACAAAAAAATAAATAAATAAATTCACGGGGATGTTGAAATGTATATTGAGATGGTTCTATATATATCAGGCTATTTTCCAGTGGTCAAAATACAACTTAAAATTAAATGAGATACTACTGTACTTCATTGAACCTAAAATATCATCAATTGTAAGATGCATTGTTATTTTTATGTGCCATTAAGAAGAAAATGATGCCAGATAAAGCAAAAAACCCTTAATTATAATACACATCTATCCCTAATTTCTCATATGTTAAACTGTAAAAAATGTATATCTTAAAATTGGTAAACTTGGGTAAGTTGTGTCAGTCTTATTAGGAAAAATAGAAAGTTTTTAAAAGTATACTTACTGGCAGGGTTATGATGAATTGTTCATTCTCATGTACAAAGAGTTAAATTGACTTAACCTTTCTAAGAGCCAGTTAGCAAGATGCAATAAGATTCTTAAAATATTTATGTTCTTCACCTTCAAATTCTTTTCTGCCTTAAAATAATTATCAGAAATTACATAAAAGTGCATAAAAGTTCCCTATAGTGTTTTTTTAATAATAAAAAATAAGAAATAACAAATTCAAGTATTATCGAGTATATGGTTAAATAATTTGTGGTAACCCTACATAATATAAACATTAAAAAGTATGTTTATAATTAATTATTAATGATGTGAAAATGCTCAAGGGGAAATTCAGGATTCATAATTATACATACAATTTGACTTCAGCTAAATATATACAAACATCCATGCACACACAAAAGAAAGAAAGAAAATATACCACATTTGAATACAGCTCATGTCTTAATGTGTGGATTTTGGAAGATGTTTTTATAATTTTCTGTAGTTTCTAAAATGATCAGATTTTGGTTTGTTAATTAGAAAAAATTCCCATTTAAAAGTAAAAGCAGGGGCAGCACCTGTGGCTCAAAGGAGTAAGGCACCAGCCCCATATGCCAGAGGTCGTGGGTTCAAACCCAGCCCCAGCCAAAAACCACAAAAATAAATAAATAAAAATAAAAGTAAAAGCAGCTCATCAAAATAATGGAACAGA